GAGAACTCATAGGTGAATATTCTAGATAAAATCAACACTACTGTTGCTTGTTACTTCAGTCTCATGAGTTGTGTCATCCTGGGCCATGGTATGCATATAGTTCAACATGTCATGTGAACCAGAAAATGTGATTGATTGAACAAGCTATGGTTCAGTAAAGTATCCATGTTGAACGAATGGAGTCTTTTAAATAATTTCAATGTATTATAACAATGTCTGATTCAAATCAGACATGCAAAGACAAGAGTTATCCAAGCAAATGTACCAACCAAGGATGCAGATGAAGTTCTACAACAGGGGTGTCAAACTGGTGGCTCGTGGGCCAGATGTATCACATGCAGGCCATGCCCACCCCAGCTCTGCAAATGGGGAAAACATCACAAAATGTCACGTGACTGCAACATGACCCTGTGAGTTTGACACCTGTGCTCTACAAGATGTTATGTATGAGCAATTATCAGACCTATCAATGATAATCTAATAATCATGATGCCAAATTGCTCACTCGAGATATGACTACACAAATAGGCGACAACAGACAAGGGGAGGGGGGTTATGACATCTAATCAGCCTGCATGGATCAGGTAAATAAACAGGCAAGAAGTGATTATCAACTTGTCAAAGAAATGATAATTCCAGCTGTAAAGCTGAAGAGCTGTCACACTCTTTTCAGCTCAAAGTATTTTGAATCATTCTATTTGGGAGCTTCTGGATTCAGTGGACAACATGATATAGGTGGAACAAGGTGGATTTCACTGTGTATAGTAAGCAAGTCTTCATACTATGCATTATTGAATAAAATATTGAATTCCAATAGCCAATATTCATCAACTACATTGATTTCAAAAAAGCATTTAACAGCACAGACAGAGAATTACAGAAAACATGGTGCCCCCCAAATTATCTTACTATATTTCTGAATTCCAGTTGCTATGTGAGGACTGATAATGACTTCACTGACTTCACATATTTTTTTTTAATGGGTGTGCAGTTAAAAGGACAGCAGACAATTCGTAGCTCTTGAGTCATGATCTGGCAAAGTATTGAATAATGATTTCCATACCAGAAAATCTCTCACACACCTCAAAGGTATGGCATGCATTGTATCAAATGTAACCTTTATGAAATCAACATGATTCCCAGAGGAATTCAAAATGAGAATTGAGCAATTGCATCGTCTCTTTTATAGGATTTTTCAAGGGATCAGACAAGCATTGTCTATTGAAAAATTCTATATGTGCATGTGAATTTTTTTTGAGAGTGGGAATCTGACCTAAACAATGATTGATGAAGCATTTTGTAGCAGAAAGGACATTTATTTAAAGGAAACATGTTATAAGCAGAACAAAGCCTAGTACTTAGCTAACTATACTCCACTAGGAGAAAGTCAAAGAGCACATGCTTTTTACATATGTTCCAGGAAACAGAGCTGAAGGAAGTAAGCTTAGATTTGGAATTTTTAATGACAAGATTAGGCAGAGTAGTAGACAAAGAAGAACATAGAGTAATTTCTGATCTTTCTATGCACATCCCGCTACTTGCTCATGGTCAATAAACCATAAAATGCTGAACTTTCAGAACTTTTGGATTCACACCTTCAATATTGCCATTTTCACTTGTAACAGCACTGGCTTTCATCCTTCCTATTTCCTAAGTAAGTAGTTAGTAAGTAAGCAAGTAAGCAAGGAGTCAAGAGGTGAACAAATGGAGTAGCTGGACAATTATTGGTTTACACATTGCAGTCAACTGGGGAAGACAATCTGAAGTGTCACTATAGCACCTTTAAAATTACTTGTTTCAAACAGATGGCATACTTGGGTTGCAAACAGATGCTATATTGAGTTGGAGAATATTCAAGGCTTATGTGCAAGATCAACCTAAGTTTACTCTAGCTAAAAAATGCAAGAAAAATCCCTATATCCTTTTCCTTTTAATCCATAATATATCCACTGAAAAGTAAAAATGTTAAGCATGATCCTATCCCTAAACTGAACCATCCTGTGATTTGCTTAATTTTCAATTAATCTGCTTGGGTGCCATTGCCAATTGTGGTTTATGTTGTAAATCATGATTGAGTAATGCTTGGCTTAGTAGAATGAGAGAATACACACTTTGCCTTTTGTCTGACATGAGTCTTCCACCTGAACATATCCAAAATGCTGAGAAAGCATGTTTTATTTCCTTTTTTTTTTTTTAGAAAAAACCACCAAAAAAGAACCAGTTTAACCAAGTAATCCACAAGATAACCAATTAAATTATTCAAGGAATTAAATTGAAAACCAATAATTGCAGAAGGTATGTTGATACAAGATTTATGTATACTTTTTTATTTTCTCAGACCAAGCATGCATTAATGAGCTTATTAGGAACCAAGATAAATGAATGTTATTCATTGGTAGTCTGGAGAAAGCTTGACTCTTATCTTCTAATTTTCTGCATTGCAGATAGTTTTATTCAATGAGAGGACATTTGTAAAATAATTTTGTAAATCAATATTATTTATTGTTTCATTTCTTCATACTTTTTAAAAATTATAATAATTATTTTTTTTAATACACAGAAGGAGCACAGAGGAAAAGATCCAACAATAACAATTCCATTTCCAGTGTATTATCCCATCATAACGAGATGTTTGGTGTTTTTGTTTAAATGATAGTAATTCTTTCTAAATATGAAATTATGTATATCTGTTTGCCTGGGAATCCAATGCATGGGAATGCAAAATTTTTGGTGATGTAACTACTCTAATCCCCAGGAATCCTGCATGAAGAACTAAGATCTGAGATTTAAAAAGGAGGAGTAACATACTGGAGCTGCGAAAAAGCATAGAAATTGCAAACGGCATTATGGTTGTGGAGTTCTAGAGGACTTTTTTGTATAGCTCTAAAGTTCCACCTGCTGAGTTGTACTGCTCAACAGAAGAAAAGTTTCTTTGCACTATACCGAACTTATTATATGAATCAAATGGTGATCAAGAAATATTGAGCAATGGTCTCTCTCTCTATATAAAAAAAGATACGATGTTAGCTAAAGATGAGAGGGACAGATATTATGGAAGCTTTTCAAAGGAAATGGAAGTTCTTCAGGATGATGGAGACTCCATCAAAAGAATAAAGTGCCTGTTCCTTCATGTTCCCAAAAGACTGTCATTGGGTGCCTATTATTGAATCATGTTCCACCTCAATGGATACACCCTGTGGAAATATGAGGTCCCCCTTATCCCCTTAGATCTTTGGGGAAGGATCAAAAGGTTGTCCCAAAGCAGAGTTTTAAAAAATCCTTTATTTGCTAAGGTAATGACTAATTTGACCCCTTGTGTAATTCAATAATGCAGTGTTAACTGCAATTCCTTGTTTAAGAAGAAATCTCAAAAGCCTTATCATTTGCCAGGCCCTGTCAGTTTCACCTTGCAGTAGAAACCTAAGCAACCCCACACAATCCTTGATGAACCAGGAATGCAAGGACACACTTAATTAAATGATACCCACTTTTCTTTCAATCCAAGTTTTTTTCCCCTGCCTTCAGTGTTCTCAGTCAATTGTAATAATAAATAATTAGGTGTGGGAGAAGGAAAAAGTCTGGTCTATGCGGTTGCATTCCTGATCCACAAGCCAGGCAGCACCTTCTCCCACAAGAGAAAATGCCCTGAGAATGTTTGCTTTAGTGGTTTCTGTTTTAAACAACTGGATTGGCCAGTTATGTTCTAGTTTCAGTGATGCCATCCACACAGTGTGGCCTGAGCAAAGTTGCACTTTCTCCACTGTTTCATTAAAGGAATGTCACCGAGCAAGGTTTTGAGTTACACATGAGTTTTGTTATGGAAAACACATCTGTTTGCAGGATAGTTTAACTGTGGGTATTTAAATTAACTGCATAAAAATTGTGGGCATTTGAATTAATGACATAAAAAATGTGGGTATTTGAAATAATTACATGAATTAAAATAATTTAAAGCCTAGTGATTATTTAAGTCTGCAGTTTTGTAGGCACACCACTAGGAGATACCGTGTTTCTCCAAAAATAAGACCCTGTCTTATATTTTTTTTTAACCCCGAAATAAGCGCTTGGTCTTATTTTCAGGGAGGTCTTATTATTTTGGGGCACGTGGAGGAAACCAGAGGAAATGGCAGGGACCGTCTGCGCATGCGTTTAAATATTTTCAGGGAGGGCTTATTTTCAGGGGGGCTTATTTTAGTGCATTTGCTCAAAAGCCCGATAGGGCTTATTATCAGGAGATGTCTTATTTTAGGGGAAATAGGGTACTACTGGTGAATACTAAAGGCCCTCCTGAATAGGCATGCATAATATGGTTGGTGACATAGTCAGTCAAATGTTTAGATTTGGCATTTTTGTCCACCTATTGAATCCTTTGCAAGAACCTGGTAGATGTTGTTTGATGGTATCAAAGGTATCATTGCAGGATATAAGCGGTTCCGACGAATGCTGCCTTTTGCAATTGACTGATGGTGATTTTGTCAATGCCGATGGTGTTCAAGTGATGCTCCAAATGTTTTGGGATTCCACCCAGGGTGTCTATTGACTATTACTACCACATTTGCTTTCTTGGTATTATGACGATGATGATTAAATCCATAGCATCAGCCTGTACATTATCTGATATTTAATCAGAAAAGTTTGCACTAGTGTTATGCAGGTTAGCTTTGAAGGTTGTCTGGGACAACAAACAATACATTACATAATTTTCATAGCTTTCCAATGACTAAGAAGCCAGCACATCAGGTTCTATCTCTTGCTCAGCAAGCAAAGATCATTCCTCTCTCCGGCTGAAGTTGACATTGCATAAAGCAGTATTTCTCAACCTTGTCAACTTTAAGATGTCTGAACTTCAACTCCCAGAATTTTCATGCCAGCATGCTGGCTGGGAAATTCTGGGAGTTAAAGTCCAGATGCCTTAAAGTTGCCAAGTTGAAAAACACTGGCAGAATTAGATAACTTTCATTTTATAGGCAGAAATAACCTCCCCTTTTTTTCCTTTTCAGAATCTTACAATTTGACCACTTTTCGTTGCATGGAATTATGGTCAAGATTAAGCACTGTTCAAAGACTCTGTCCTTAAAGAGTAAGTTATTTTAATATACCTTCTATTTTTAAAATGTATAATGAGCCACCAGTTTTGCATTGGTGGTAGTAGAACTATTTGACATAGATAGAAGGGGAGAAGAACAGGGAAAGAGACCAGTTTGAATAGTATCCATAGAACCATCAATATCTTTTGTGTTTGAAGGACTGTACAAACCAAGTCCAATTTAAATGTAACAAATGATCTGGATCAGGGTCAGGACTGATGCTCTTGCCATTAGAATAGCTCCACATTGTGCACTAGAAACCAGCTGCAACTTTCCCTTTAAATTTAAGCAGTAGCTTTTGATCTGATAAATGTTGCTTGTACTGGGTTTTTTTTAAAATGTAAAACCCGAAACATCAGCCAATATAAACATACTTCCCATAAACCTGAATATCCTTCAATTGATTGGAATATATTATAGTTGGGAAGTGGGGGACAGGAAATCTGACCTCTCCCTCACGTACATTTTTCAGAGTGGTGCTTGCTTGGTATAATTACTCTTGAGGATATCTACCCTTCTGTCCTTGAGCCCTGCTGATGGGAGGGGAAAAAAAGGCAGGATCAAGAAAGGAAGGGCTAACCTGTTACAGAAATGGCTGGCTGCCCTGGGAACTTAATTATGATTTCCCTCACTGCGAGTGTGTGGGGTGCTTCCTCTTCTTTTCCACCTCCTCCTCCCTTGACCCAACTTGTTCAGGAATGTGAGAAATGGGTGTGACCTTCCCAGCTATTAGGGTGAAAGGAAGGAGCATACCAAAGTTATGAGGCAATAAAAAAAGAAATGCTGTTCGTTCTAATTGCCCCACTGCCCAGTGGCTGCAACTCAGCAATATTTTGCATGGCTCCAATAAGAATAATCATTAAAAACAAGCTGGGGTATTAAAATCAGTGGAACAAGTTAATAGCTGTTATCTATCCTGTTCCTAACATTTTGATTATTTACTATACATGATCAGCTGCTACTGTTGCTTTATGCATATTTATTAGAGACATCCAAGTGAGAATGAAAGACTTGTGAGACAATGAGTATATGAGGTCCTTGATTATTTCATTTTGAGCTGAGATTTGTCTGAATGTTCCACGTGAATCAGCCCCATTAGACAGGAGGCTTTCTTTGATTTCCACTCCCCCCTTCCTTTACTCCTAAGGAACCATGCCTCTAGAATAAATTGTGGCAAATATTAACAGTGACTGTATTTCTCTCTAGTGCATCTAATAAAAAATTCCCAAAGTCTTTAATAGAGAAATCTTAGTAAAACGGAATCATTTCAAGGCTTCACAAAAAAATGAAGCCAATCTCCAACACCCCTATTCTCTAAGTAAACCGATCTTGTGTTGGAGAAAGGGAACTTGGTGAAGATGACTAGAGATAGGAAAGTCAGAGTAGGTTTCAACTTAGACTCAGTTACTTTAATATTATTTCTTGCTAGATTGAACAGGAGTTGCAGCTTCCTAAACTACCTAGTTCAGTGAATCAGGCAGAGTGGAGGACGCAAATATAAACTCTACCTCTTCTGTAAGAACTGAGATTCATGATCATTTTCAAAAGCAGACAGTCAATCTGCTTTCCTTATGGTGTTTTGTATCATAAACTGGAGAATGCAGAATAACAGAGTTGGATGGGACCTTGGAGATCTTTTAGTCCAACCCCCTGCTCAAGCGGGAGATTCTGTACCATTCTGTACAAATGGCTATCAAATCTCTTCTTAGAAACCTCCAGTGATGGAGCACCCATAGCTTCTGAAGGCAACTTTTTGCACAAATTGTTCTCACTGACAGGAATTTTTCTTTAATTCTAGATTGGATCTCTTTGTCAAGTTTCCATCCATGACTTCTTGTCTTGCCCTCGGGTGCTTTGGAGAATAGGTTGACCCCCTCGTCTCTGTGACAGCCCCTCATATTGGAGGACTACTGTCATGTTCTTCTTTTCTTCTCTAGACAGTCCCAGTTCCTGCAACTGTTCATCATATGGTTTAGCTTCCAGTTCCCTAATCATCTTTGTTGCTCTTCTCTGCAGTTTTTGAGCCAAAGTGGCACAGTGGTTAGAATGCAGTACTGCAGGCTACTTCTGCTGACTGCTGGCTGCCTGCAATTTGGCAGTTCCAATTTCACCAGGCTCAAGGTTGACTCAGCCTTCCATCCTTCTGAGGTGGGTAAAATGAGGAACTAAATTGCAATAGACTGTCTCTACAAACCACTTAGAGAGGGTTATAAAGCACCATAAAGCAGTATATAAGCCTAAGTACTATTGCTATTCTAGAGTGTCAAAATCTTTTTTGCATTGTGATGACTTAAACTGTATACAGTATTCCAAGTATCTTACCTGTGCAGTATAAAGCGATACTAACACTTCACATGATTTTGATATTATCCCTCTGTTGATGCAGCTTATTTTTTTTTATATTTTATTTGTTGATGCATCCTATCTATTGATGTAGGTTAATCTATTTATTGGATTTATGCTTTGCCTTTTCTCTTTGCTTTCATATAGAGATCTCATTTCAGTTTTGCATCCAGTTTTGCAACCCCATAAGGTAGGCCTGGGTCAGAAATAGTTGCTATTCTGTTCTAAAAGTCCTCTAGAGAACTTTATTACTGAGTGGTCACTTGAAACTGGGTTTCTCTATTCTTAGAGATGGTTCTATAATGGTTCACTCCAACCATTATATCACATTCAAGTTTTTACCTTTAGTTGGTTTATTTTAATTCATTCAACCTGGTATTCAAAACAAAACAGATACTTATCATACAATCACCTTTGTCATTTATTCTTCCATTTCCAAATGGCCTGATCACTTGCTTGTATTCTTTCATCTCATTCCCATCCAATCATTCATATATCATGGATTCCCTCCCACTCGGATTGAATATTGCACAATTTATTCCGTCTTTGGTTTTTTCATTATCACCATTCGCTGAAGTGTAATATCAATTTCATAGACATTCAGAACAATGCAGATGAGACCAGTTCCTATGTTTTGATATGTGTTTTAGCCCTTTCATTCATACTCATGAAAGCAAACTCCAGCACAGGTGAAATGTGAATAAGTTAAAAGGACAAAGTATGAGAAACAGAAGCATGGAAAAGTCAAAACTGCCTACTGTTATTATTGGTCACTAGATGTAAGGATGTCTCCCACTCTTTGACAGCTGCCCACAATCTTTACAACACTGGATACTTATATTTGATAACACACTGAAGCATTATTTGAATGCCCAGTTCCACAATAATTACATTGCTAAAATTATGCATTTCTCAGTCTGTACAGATGATACCATTTTTCTTTCTTTCTTTGAACTTGTGCATTATTTCTGATTTCATTTTTGATAAAATCATCCATGGTTTGACAATTCTATTCTTAAATAAATATGGCAACTTTGATTACAAGAATATAGGTAGCTATCACAGAGTCAGTGGTGGCTGTATTGCAAAGGAAACCATGTACCCTCTCCCTCAGATTGTGGGTTAAAAAAAACCCAATGGTTTTCATTATTTTTAAATTTGTTTTTGTTGTCATCAACAAAATCAGCTTCCCTGCCATTCATCAAGGAGATAACAGCTTTACAGAGTTTCAGATAGCAATACTATGAATTGAAACTGTAAAAAAACCAAGCATCTGGAGGTATTGTCAATCACTGATAGAGATAGAGATAGATAGATAGATAGATAGATAGATAGATAGATAGATAGATAGATAGATAGAGATAGTTAGAGATAGATAGGTAGATAGATAGATAGATGCTGTAGATAGATAGATAGATAGAAACTGCCAATTACTAAAAAAGAAACTGAATTTCTTCCTTAGTTTAATTCATGAACAATGGCATCATTTTACTTTTCAGCTGTTGCTATTTTTAGTTTTCTTCTTTGCAAAATGTAGTTATGGGGATTCTTTTGATGAACTCAGTTAAATATGTCCCTGCTAGATACAGAGGAAAGGAGGAAAACCAGTTGCTGTGAAGCAACAAAATAGTGTGAAATAGATTATTCAAATTCGATTGCTATTTCATTTCTGGGATCTGTTCTGTCCATCCATCCTTTTATCTGTCTATCTATTCTTCCAGCAATTGCAAAACAGGAGTAATGAAGGTGCTGGGTTGGTTGCTTCTAAACTATTTTAGTGCAAGTAAAATGACAGTTTACCTGATGAATCAGTGGGAAAAAAACAGCAACATATAATTATTTCTGCTTTTGATGTGTGAGGTGTTTGACAAGTTTAGATACAGGATTCAAAGTCAATTCCATGTCACTGAGTTCCAAAATCCATATTAGGATGATGGAGCCAAAAGAAAGAATGAAAATTGTGTGCTTGTTTCAAATTCTCCTGAACTTTCTGTCAGGCTAGAACAAAACGAAAAAAAGTCATAGACAAGTATAGAACCTGAACTGAGTCAGTCTCAAAAAGGAATGTGGAGGTATATGCTGTAAGCATTCAAGTTTGGTTGTAGCTCAAGCTGTAATTTTTAAGGTTGTAGTGTTAGTACCACTTTACAATGCATTGCATCCAGTTTTGGTCACCATGATATAGAAAAAGACTTTGAGACTCTAGAAAGAGTACAGAGAAGAGCAACAAAGAATATTAGGGGACCGAAGGATAAAATATATGAAGAATGGTTGCAGGAATTGGGTGGAACGAGTTGCCTCCAGAAGCTGTTGGTGGGCCAATCCTGGAGGTTTTAAAGAAGAGACTGGACAATCATTTGTCTGAAATGATATAGGGTTTCCTGCCTAAGCAGGGTGTTAGATTAGAAGACCTTCAACGCCCCTTCCAACTCTGTTGTTATGTAGCTAGAACTGTCTCTAATAGTTTGGGGTGAAAGAGACAAAAATTACAGAGCTTTCCCATTTTTTTGAAACTACAAAACTCATCTGAACAAATCATTTTTCTACTTATCAGCCCCATCTCCCCAAGAATACTTTCCATCATAAATGTAATCAGAAAAAATAAGTTGTATTACTTTCCCACAACTTGGCCAAGGAGTCTTTGCTGTAGTAGGTTGTGTGTGGCTATGTAAAATTCAAGATAATATTTTAAAGTTTGACTCTGGCCTATGAACCATTTTTTCCCCAACTACTCATAATGGGTTTTGGAGAAATGTTTATTTCTGATTAAGAAAGGAACAGGCATGTGTTCTTGGATAAGCAGGTGCCAATATCTTGATTGTGCCTAATATTGCTTCCTTCATATGCTCACCAACTTGTTGCCACAATTAAGGAAAAGGACATTGGGAAGGAAACTCATGAAAGAAGGAAAAAAAGCAACTTTCAATGATGGAACGGATGGCACTATCTCATTTTCTACTTTGCATTGGCTGGAAGTATTTTGCTGCCTGAATAAAATCTGGTGTCTTGAATCCCCCTCCCTCCCACCAAAGCTAGTAAGACTATCAGCTGATTTTTTTTAAACCCCTGCACTGATGATACAAGAGTTTCCCCCACTGCAGCTGGTTAGAACACTTGGTTAGCACAGGGCTCTCCAACCTTGGCAACTTTAAGCCTGGAGGACTTCAACTCCCAGAATTCCTCAGCCAGCAAAGCTGGGAATTCTGGGAATTGAAGTCCACCAGGCTTAAAGTTGCCAAGGTTGGGGACCCCTGGGTTAGGAGAACAGGGCAAATTGCTTATTCACCCTCTCTGAATATCGATTGTCTGACATATTTCCCCAGGTTAACCCTTATAGCAGACAATCCCCATAAGGCAGGAGTATCAGTTAAGAATCACACCAGGCTTTGCATGCAGGGGTACCCTTCAGAAAAGGTGGACTTAAGTCCATTTTGGGAAGTTTTTATTGTGGGTATAATGGCTCCTTTCAGGAAATCCAAGTTGTAAAATACCCATTTTGACTGTGAGGGGCCTCAGAAAAACAACGACTTTACTAATTCTGTGTAACACCAAGGATTGTTCCAGACTGAATGTTGTTGTTCCATGGAGGTGTTTTGTACTTCTGCATAGTTCCATTACCCTTTCATCTGGACTAGATGTATTTTATTTGCTAAGTTATGTTCCACAGCGTGAGATTGCCAAGGCATCATGTATTGCCTGCTCCTATCAAGCTTAATTCATTGTCCCAGGGATACAGGATCTTATTTTTAATATAACCTGCAAACCAGTCTCCAAAAGAGGGGAGAACCATTCACTATCTATCTGTGAGATGTAGGATGTCCCAGGCTTTGAGTAATGCTTCATTGTTGTGCATACACATTGCTAGTACAGGTAGTCCTCAACTTACAACCACAATTGAGCCCAAAATTTCTGTTGCTAAGTGAGACAGTTGTTAAGTGAATTTTGCCCCATTTTATGACCTTTCTTGCTACAGTTGTTAAGTGAATCTGGCTTCCCCATTGACTTTGCTCGTCAGAAGATGGCAAAAGAGGATCATCACATGACCACGGGACATTGCAACTGTCATGAATATGAGTCAGTTGCCAAGTGTCTGAATTTTGATCACATACCCATGGGGATGCCGCAATGGTTGTAAGTGTGAAAAAAGACCATAATTCACTTTTTTTAGTGCCGCTGTAATTTTCAGTGGTCACTAAATGAACTATTGTAAGTGAAGGACTACTTGCACATACATTATCCAGAGTGAATTAAATATGTGAACTTTTTAGGGGGGTGTCAGAGGGAGGGGAAGGGGATTATGGGAATTATTTTTCATATACATTAAGGTTGAAGGTAGCCATGCAAATTTGTCCTATTGACATTATTTTCAAATATTATACTGCACTCCTAGATGGAACTATGAGTTTATACCAGGGGTGGGTTCTACTTATCTTTACTACCGGTTCGCAACGAGGCATGCGCAGAAGCGTTTTGAGGATGTCGGGGTCGGTGGGCGGAGCCTCCCTCTGGTTTTACTACCGGTTCGGTAGAACCGGTGCGAATCGGGGGCAACCCACCACTGGTTTATACATTAAGAAATCACACTTCAGAAATTGTACCAGGTTACCATTAAATAGAATATTTAAAGAGCTAGGAATAGGATGTTTCAGAAGGCAGTCACAGTTTCAGTACATGGTAAGGTAAACAATGGTAAAACAATTTCATCAGTACCTTTTGCTGAACTGTTATGTCATCAAAGATTCTATATACAGTATAAGAATGAGAAAGCAAATGAAGGATAGTTATTTTCACCATAAAACATATGGTACAACACCTGCAAGAATATGATGCATTTCCATAAAGCTCTATCTCGGTCCAAAATAAATACATCTTGACAGTCAATACATCCTTGCCTCCTTTATGAGGTATTATTTGGGGTGAAAATCATGTACTTTTATCTTTGGATCATTGGCGTTTGTGCATTGTGGCTGGAATCCAGTCATTTTCTTGTGCATCCAGAATCTCTAGCCAATTACTGACAGCATCTACCTGCCATTGAATTGCAGAAAAGAAGAAGAAGAGAGAAATGGAAACCAGAAACTGGCTATGATTCCAGGACTTCAGCCAATATCTAGCCCAATTCCAGAAGGTGGAATAGCATGTCTTTTGTTTACTGAGTTTTAGAAAGCTGGTTTTAAGCTGGACAAAAGATCTCTTACAGCTGTTCTATGTCAAGAAATATATTTTCAAAAACCAACCAATTGGCAATTCTGTAAGAATAAACCTCTTTTCATTGACAATTGCAAACTTTTTTTCTCTTCAGAGAATGGGTGGGTGGGTAAATTAGTTTGCTTTTTTTATGTAAGTTTAACCAAGGCTGAAATTTTCTCCCCATTTAGTCCAGTGGAATTTAAGAATAAGTTCCACTGGACTTAGTGAGACTTACTTCTGTATAGGCATACATAAAGTTTTATTGTTATTTGCTTTCCTCCAAGGAATGTAAAACTCAAAGCATAACCTATTAATAAATTATTCTATGGAATCTGCTACAAAGAACCTGAAATTTATTCAGAGATTTGATGTTGAAGCCTCCTATCTTGTATTTCCAGCAAGCTTGGGTCTATTATTAGGTAAGGTGAGGTGAGGTGTCTTCAGAGAGTGGAAGATAAAATAAAAGTATTCATGATAGCTACCTCACTGGCTGTTTCTACTCATATGTATGTAACAAACAGAATAGAGATTTAGTGGATACACATACACATATACTGTAAGCCTAGAGAATAAAAGAGAAAAAAGTTAAGTCAACAAAGAGATCACAACTATATGACTGAAGCATGCTCCCCTTTTAAAAATGCATCATAATGCACATATAAAAAAAGAAGTAGAACTTTGATTACGTGGACACATCCGCTATTGTGTCTTTTTTTTTTTACCCCTTATACAGATTTGCATATAATTTGCTAAAAATTATATCAAATGTTAATTCTACAATTTCAGTTACTTATATTTTGACACAAAATGAAGAAAAGGCAGGTAGCACTGATATAGGGATTATATTTGTTGGCTATCTGACATAAAAATGCCATTAAAAGTAAGTACCGGTAGTTCTTTATGATTATACACCTAGATTTGGTGTAGGGCATTTGCTGTTGTTCTTAAAAGAAGTGATTTTTTTTCTTTTTTACAACTTTGTAATTCCTTGCTTCCAGGTGGTGACTGAATGGAGTTGAGCGTTTACTAGCTGGATGCCCTTCCTGATGCCTACGCAGAGTTCACAGCAGATATTTTCTCTTTGCACGCTGATAGAGAAACATCTGTCATTGCCTAGGATTGGAAGGTGAGCATCTTTACTTCTAGGTCACCATGCCATTATAGGTTCTGCCATCTAAGTGGCATGGTGACCTAGAGGTAGAGACGCTCACCTCCCAATCCTAGGTAGCGACAGATGTTTCTCTATCAGCGTGCAAAGAGAAAATATCTGCTGTGAACTCTGCATAGGCATCAGGAAGGGCATCCAGCTAGTAAATTCTCAGCTCCATTCAGTCACCACTCTGAAGCAAGGGATTACAAAAATGTAAAAAAGAAAAAAAATCAGTTCAGAATGTTTTTTTCCCCATATGAAACAGGTATGTGTTTTTCTTTTTATGTTCAAAATGCTTGCAAAGTCATCTTGGTGTTTTTAAATACATGCTTGGCACTAATGGAAATGTTGAACATTTAGATCACATGTCAACCTGTCACTTCAGCCAGGATCACATGGTAGTCATTCCACACCAGTCTCAGTTCTCCTGAAGAACTGCCAATTGATTCATGCACCAGACTATGCCTCTTGAAAATATGGTGCCTGGAAAATTTTTGTTCCCTGCTTAACAGCAATGAATCCCAGCATGATTTCAGAAGCTGCTAAATCACTCTTCTTCCATGTGCTTCACCTAGCTGGCCAGTGAAACTGACACTTACTTTTTATTATGCAGATGCAAGGGTGCCAAATTTCCCAAGGATCTTAACCTCCTGTTAATAGGCTCCTTGTAAAAAAAGCCACATCAAAAGAAGAAGAAATGCTTCCAACTTCCCAGACTAAAACTATCTTGAAATTTCCAACTTTAAGGCTGAGCACGGGCAAAGACATTTTCCCAGATTATAACTGTGCTCCGCCTTTCCTTAAAGGCCACATCAATGACTGGGCCTGGAATTAGCCTTTTTAAACTTTTGTTAGACATGGCCTTTCCAGTACTTTCTCAAAAATGCCTACACTGATACTGCTGTGAATTTGCTAGAGGTAAACTCATATATTGTAAGCTGCCTGGAGTAGCTCTAGAGTAGTGGCAAGATAGGCAGCAAATAAATGTAAGAAATAAATAAATATTTGTATTAATCGTATAGGACAATGGTTCTGAACCTATGGTCTGCAGACATGTGGGGGCCCATGATGTTGTCACAGAAGGTCCGCGAGGGCTTGATGAAATGTTACGATTTAAATCTTGAGTTAAGTCTTGGGGGTCCATGGCAGAGGTGAAATCCAGCAGGTTCTGACAGGTTCTGGAGAACCGGTAGTGGAAATTTTGAGTAGTTCAGAGAACCAACAAATACCACCTCTGGCTGGACCAGAGTGGAGTGGGAATGGGGATTTTGCAGTATCCTTTCCCTGCCATGCCCACCAAGCCACATCGTGCCCACCAAGCCACGCCCACAGAACCGGTAGTAAAAAAATTTGGATTTCACCACTGGTCCATGGCCATGGTCTGTGGCCACAAAAGATATTTAAAGGGAGTCCATGGTGAAGAAAAGGTTGAGAGCCACTGATATAGGACATGGTTATATTCTAAGGACTTGGTGCTATCTGACATTTTGTATATGTGTACATGGAGTATTCATCACTGAAAATTCTAGAACTTCTTGAAGCCTATTCATCTGAAAATTGCCAAGGTTGAAAACTATTGTTCGACACAGTCATTTGTGGATATCTAGGACTCAGAGGATAAACCCTGTGTGAATTGGAACAGTGGCAGAAGTGGGGGATTGCTATAGTAAATGTGCATGTGAGATGGAAACTATTTCATACTTGAGAAACTGTCAAAAATGCAAATGATTCTGCCTCAAGTTTTACTCAATGAAGTCTCCAGAGTTCATATCATTACCTAAACTTCACCCTTCATTGAATGCCTATTGTAAATTACATAGTCAAGGCAGGGCAAGTACAAGAATATTGCTCAAAAACTGATTAAGGAAGAAAGTATTATTGGTTGACGTGAGGGAGTGGGGGATTGTTTATGGAAATTCTCAGTCATCCAGATCATGGTTGTCTCAGAGGTGCTTTTTCAAAAGGCATTTTTGTTTTTCTTTGAAGACATTTCGCTTTTCATCCAAGAAGCCTCTTCACTTTGCTTCTCATCTGAAGAAACTTCTTGGAAGGGAAGCTAAATGTCTTCAGTGAAAAACAAAGAACCATGTCCAGTTGCCTTTTGAAAAAGTACCTTTGGGGAGATCATTTTTAATTTGTGGGGAAGACATCATGGTAGGTTTCTCTATTTTCAGAAATAATTTGGAGTCATAGCTACAATAGATACAGCAACAATTTTCAGCATCCACTGGAACTCTACTTTCCACGAGAGCACATAATTTTCAGCCTTAGTCAAAAAGGTGTGTGTGCCAGGCCTTTTCAGTCATTGGATAAATCTTTATAGAAGCTGCTCAATGCATTTTCTTTGACAGCTTCAAATGTATACATAATTGCTTAATTCAATACAGCATTATAGCATAAGTGTACAATGGCTAATCTAAGCAGCCATTTTATCAGGCTATAAATAATGTCATTGTGGATTCAATTCACTGAAACAAGAGAAAGATTTGCCACTTCTTTTACACAATGTAACTCTGCAAATATGCCTACACAACAATGACATGTCCTCAGACATTCAAAGATAAGCAAGGGTTTCTCTCATTATTACCCTTAGCCATTAGCTAATTCACAATGTCCATTATGTTTCTTCTACCTATTGTTCGGCTATTAAGCCCCACAAAAGTCACATAACATTGGTACAGAAAGCAGAAAAGGAGGAAAATATGAGCTGAGAGGAGGTAGCAATAAATCATAACCAGCTACTTCACTGGTAGGCTCACAATCTTCTGCCAAAGACAGAATATGATATTGTATTAAAGTGTGGTTTTTTTTTTTGAGTTGACAAAAACTGTCATGAAGCGCTGGATAATTTGTTGTTTGCTGAATCCCAGGACTAACTATGGAATGGTCAGGGGAAAAAAAAATCAGATTACAGATTTGCACCTTGATTTGCAGTGATTTGTTTATATATTGTGATTATATTCTTATCTTCTTCTTCTTGTGCCATATCCGTCATCGGACATTGGCGATCATGTTGGCAATCCAATTTTTGTCAACAGCCTTATGAAAAAGTGCTGCTGAGTTTTGTCCAAACCAGTCCCGAAGGTTTTGAAGCCATGATGTTCTTCTTCTGCCTGGACCTCGTTTGCCTTCAATCTTTCCCTGGAGGATTAAGTGAAGGATGCTGTATTTTTCTGGGTTTCTGGAGGATTAAGTGAAGGATGCTGTATTTTTCTGGGTGTCGCATCACATGTCCAAAATATTCTAACTTTCGCTTTTTAATGACTTTCATTATTTCCCTTTGCTTTCCCAGGCAGCTTATCACCTCCTCATTTGTGATATATTCTTATATCTTGCCTTAATATTGTACAAACTCACGGACAATTATACACAGTGCTTATCCTCCTACTGTCTGAACAAGAACACAGTGAGGTGAGAGTGTTCTTGAATGCCCTTCTTCTTCTGTGAGAGTGAGTGACTGGTCCAGTCACCTAGCCAGTTTCCATCCTCGGAAAAGATTAGAACTGATGGTTTCATAGTAATCATTACATTAAATAGCACTAGCAATAGAAATACCACTTAGATTTATATACCACTTCATAGTGCTTTACAGCCTCTCCAAACAGTTTACAGAGTCAGCATATTGCCCCCAAGAATCTGGGTCCTTATTTTACCAATCTCGGAAGGATGGAAGGCTGAATCAACTTTGAGCTGGTGAGAATCAAACTGCCAGTAGTTGGCAGGATTAGCCTGCAATACTGCATTCTAACCACTGTGCCATCACCACCAAATGGTCTTTCTGTAGCATTGCTCTGTAAGGATCCCCTACTCTCACTTTGAATTCCTTCTCTTCCTTCTTGTCACTGAAAACTTCTCTTCTTTTGTATTTCAGATCAGTTGATTTCTGTACAGTATTCATTATCAATCACTTTGTTGATTGATAGTCACTCAGTCACTCAGGTGATCCTGGTTTTTCCAAAATGTCCTTTGATGCTACATTGTCCTGGAACATCTGGGAGGAAAAAGGGTG